TATATATATATATATATATATATATATATAACGAATATAACTAAGAGTTCTATTACACTCAACTTGAAATATAATAATAGAACTTTACAAAAAGATTTAATTTGCAAAAATCTAACATTCTATTTGAAACTTGTGCTTACCATTTAGCACATGATCCATAGAGATATCATCATTTCTTCGTATAATTTAAGTGATTATTGTAAAAGAAAAAACAAATACATAAAAAAACAAAGGGTAAGCTAATTTACTAAAAAAGATAAATCATGCAACAAAAACAAAGATATTAATACATATGCAAGTTATATCATTCAATCCTAAATTATGTAATTATTTATTCTAGACTTGACCATGTAAACATATATGTATTGATGTTAAACTCTTGAGAGTTATGCAATTGTAGTAACATATATACTCTTGCAAAGTCATAAACAAAAGGGTTTACCACCTACAAGGTTAATCCTTTTGGTGTCTAGGACCAAACTAATGCTTATATACTAGGACCTTCTGCTTTTCTCACCACATACTCCACTTTTCTCTACTTGAGATTGGATAATTATTAAAGTGTCAAGATAACTCTCATTTTGGAATGCCTACATCAATACATAAAACTACTTAACTAACATAAAATCTCTCAACTAGATTCATGGAATTATGTCAAACACATATACCATATTCATAAGCAACAACAAGCTCATTATCATTACAATTTCATACATGAATAAACTCTATACATGTTCATAATCATGTTATTAACCAATGAAGCATCATAATGCATGTTATATACTTATAGAAAATAGTGTAAAACCATTCTAAGCCAAAATCGAGAATAAAAAAATCATAAAAAATAGTAGTGATGCTCAGGCAGACGCTCATCACAAAATCCCTCGCAATAAGGGGTGCTCAACATTAGTTTCTAGTGCTCAATGCCAAAGTTATCGCATTTTCACTTGTAATGGTAATTGGTGCTCAACGGTACAAAGTAACATCTTAACACCGTACCATTCGCATTTAGGCTGCTCAACGATAAAATTGTTGCTCAGCACCATACCATAAAACTACACATTTCAAAACTCTGAATTAGGGAATTAGGAACCTATTCAGATGACCAAATTAGTATTATCGATTCAATTAATGGTTCAAAACAATTTTAGGTGTTAGAATGAGTAACAATTTGCTCAAATTGTTAGATTCCCAATCCCTCAACTTAACACCAAGCAAACAGTTTCAAACTACACAAAACCAATTCAATGCATTAGATTATGCAACCATTCAACCATCATTTTTAGACAAGTCGGGCATGTAATTTCATATTTGATAACATTTAAAGCATAAAACAAGATATTTAGCTTCACTTACCTTATAGATGACCAAAACGCTTTAGAAAGGCTAAAATGGCTCCAAACACATAGGAAACTCTATCTGCTCCTACGAATAACAAAAACACGATTAGGGTATACCATTAGAATCACTGATCAACAAGGACTCAAATTGATGACTCAAAAGATACATGTAAGTTGAGCAGGATCCACATGCAACCGATATAAGAAAAGAACAGGGGAAAGAGATTGAATTCAACTTAGTCAAACGAAAAAAATTGATAGATCCAACTCAGAGAGCTCGTCGTCATGATCAATCATACATTCTCAATTCTTCAATTAGACGAATAGAGGATGCAAACTCTTAGAGATAAGTTATAGAATTATAGAAAAATGGTTTTTAGAAAGATTGTGCGTTTTAAAATAATTAAACTCATTCATAACAAAATCATTTATATTAAAACCTTTTAATAACAAAATAGTTGAGTCTTACTAATTTTAAATCACTACCACTTCTAAAATATCATTTTCTATGTCTTTACATTGTGAAGATAATTCTAAATTAGATTGTGTAAAAAGAACTCATGAACACCACACTAGATTCCATGGTTACTACATCATCTCCTTCTTTTATTCTTCTCACTTATTTTTAATCATTTTATAACAAACATTTTATCAATTTTTGGGGAATAATTAACATCTATTTTACCAACAAATTTTTAAAAAAATACAACTATAGACATATTCACATATGGATATTAAAAAAATTGAACTAACACCATATTTACCAACGTTTTTTTTTAATATTATCGACAAACTAAGCGATAGCTTTTAAAAAATTTAAATTACCGATAAATTTTATCAATAAAAAATATTTGTTGAAAATAAACATTATAAATTGCCATATTCAATTAACAAATATTTGTGTTCATAAAAAAATTAATTTATCCACAAATTCATTATAAATGAATATTTTTATCAATAATTAAAATTTAAAAATCTGTGGCTAAAATTTTGTCAATAATTTAACATTTTCTTGAAGTAAATTGATATATTTTTTCATATTTACTTAGTTATTTGATTATTTGGTTAATTTATTTTTTCATTCTTAATTTTTTTGGCTAACCAAACAAATCACAATTTCATACTTTTAATTATGATTAGGAGTTATTTTATAACTTAGGATTTGGATAAAAATTGTAATTCAACTTACAACTCTAAGAATGTGAACAGAAAAAATTAAGTCAGATATAAATTCTCATCTTATTAATAATTCTTTAACATCGTTTACGGGATAATCTAAATTCCGTAATTGATTTAGATATTACTCTTTCTATTCATATTTATTTATTTATATTGCTTCACTTGTTTAGACTTTTTTTATCGACCTATTTACTTGTTGCTTTTACTCTTCCCTTTTATCAAACGATCTATAATACTTTTTTTTCCTGATTAAACAATAATAACTGTGACACTTATACTCCATTTTGGAATAAGTTTGAGTTCCCCTTCCATATATGCATTTATGTTAATGGAGGCAGTGGATGCTGTTGATCATTGCCCTTCCAGGGGAGATTTAATGAATCATCATGAGTCACTTGTGTTAGTTTTAATTATCAATATTGGTTTGGGGCATTCTTTATGGAATCCAAATGTTTGGGATACAGAGAATTGAGATATTTGTTGATTGAATCAAAATGTTCTATAACAATCTCATTCATTAAAGACAGTGTCACAGGATGTTTTCCACGCTGTATAATCTTTTAAAAGTATTAAGACATTTTTCAGAAATCATATTAATGTGTTATCTAATAGACAATTTAAACATTCTCTGTGTTTTATAACCAGATTTTTTATTATTATTTAGAGAAAAAAAAGGAGATTAAATTTTTAAACACAATTTTATAGTTATATATGTTATAAATTTTCTAATTTTTTTAAAAATATAATGTTGAAACGGAAAAGAAAAATCATTCTTCTTTACACTCCACGTGTTGCCTGCCCC